AACTGCCTGTATGACCACGCTCCAGTTCCTAAACTTCTCTGAGCCTTGGTTTCTCGTATCTAACATGAGAGGTTTGCACTAGATGCTACTTAGGATTCTTGACAACTCTAGAAATCTATGTTTCTAAGAAATAAGGGAAAATATTTTTGGAAGAATGAGGTAAAACAGAAAAAGAGGAATTATGGAACTTTGGTAATAGGGGTCAGAAAGGACATGAGTTCCATCCTCTGTCTGGTACAATCAAAAAGAGCTTAGGAATAACCTCTGGCCATTAGGGGTCAGTAGAAAATGGCCAGACATGAAAACTGGCATCTTATGAAATACACAAAATATATTTATTCATGTCCTATTAAAGTTTGATGCTTTTTCTTTTTTAATATTTGGATATTGGAAAACAGAATAACAGGTTATTTTGATTTTTTGGTTTTTGTTTTTTTCAGTGAAAAGAGGGTTAACACCAAGATAAGCTTTTTGTTTGAACCCTACCCTCACTCCCACCACAGGCGAGCTAGCCGACCACCCCGAAGGTTCCCTCCTCCTCATTCTGCCTGGAAAAGCTTAGCCACACACCGTTCCAAGCCAGGGAACAAAAGCCTTTCATTTTCAACAACCTCTTTAGGACAGAACCAACGACATATGCCAGTGGGTAAGAAAAACCTGTTTGAGCCCAGATAAGTCCCTTCCAAGCCTCCATCTCCTGGATTATCTAATAGCACAGGATCCCTGATTCTATCAATCTGGACCTCTTGGCCACACTTTAGCAGGCTATGGGGCAAGTCAGCACATTAGGCACTCGTTACCGCCCATCTCTATTTACCACCTCCTTTCACTCGTATCCTGGGTGCCCCGTGGGGGAGCAAAGTGAAGCTCAGAGACTGCTGACTCCCGCCCAAGAGACTGCTGGGAGCCTGAGGGAAACTCAATAAACAAGACTCCAAGAGGAAAAACCAGACAGCAACAGAAATGATGAGGGGAGGGAACACGGAGGAGCACGGTCTCCGGAGCCCAGCCAGAAAGAGGGTGGAGGGGGCAGGGAGCCGGAGAGAAGGCCTGGGTCAAGGAGGCAGCAGCTGGCGTGACTGGGCGCTGCGGGGCCGGGGTGCATGTGAGCTGGAGCATAGGTGAGCGAAGCAAGGAGACCCTCTAGGAGACCTCCTGCCTGGGCAGGCCCAGGGGCCCGTCCCCGAGGAGCACACAGGGAAGGAACGCCACCTGAGAACACTGACAATCCCAGGTGACAGTGACCGCCCAACTCGTACAGCCCCGGGTTGTCTGACTGCACTGTCATATCAGGAACGTTCGGGAACAGGAACCTCAGGGGATGGCAAAATCAGGAAGGGATGGGAGGCAGGAAGTAAGACAGTATTTTGACACTCAGGCCCTCAAAGTCTCAGACTACGAAACCACACAACGACCTCAGCAGAAGTAGGATAATTCCTGGTAGCCTAAGAGCAATTGTGGAAAGTTAAGTATAAAGAGATTCCCCTTTGATGGGAGTGTTGCACTCTGGCCAAAGTAACTCCCTCAAAATCCTGGAGTTATCGCCTATATCAGGGCTCAGGGAACTGGGCCACTTTCCTCCAGAACCAGACATTCACTGTTCAAGAAAAATGTGGCTCTGGGCATAAAGAAAAGCTCCGGGAGCTGAGTTCTAATTCTGATTTTGCCATAGCCATTCTCTTCTGTGTGTGTCCCGAACCTGCCCGAGAGCTCACTGCGTAGCCAGGGCCAGGGAAGAACCTGAATGAGGTCGCCTGACCAGGGAGCCTCACGCTGGGTGTGGGCAGACCTTTCTAAAAGTGGGTCCCTTCGGTATTCTGGGCCACAGCCCCCAAAGTGTTTCTCCCTTGGAGATAACACTCCCCCACCCACCTGTCGTGGTAGTCGTGAGGAATTACAAGTAGGCTGGGATGAAGAGTATTTTTAACTCCGGAGTTAGAGAAATGCTGAATCATCATCATCCTCATCATCAACTCCCACTCGGGGACTTGGTTTTCTGTATCGTCTGCAAAGTGGGACCCTGGACCCGAGTCCTGGCAAGGCCAGCAGCGGTTGTGCACAAGAGTTCTGTCCCCACCCAAATGTGCCCCTGTGGCAGATTCCCAAAGCGGACACGGCAGGGAGATACGTGAACCTGGCAATCAGGGGTTATACGGCACACTCAGACCTCCCTACTAGCGTCAAATTGGAGACCCAAGACATTTTTCTTCATTGGAGTCACTCACTTATTTATTCCATGAGTATTTCTTGAGTACTTGTTATGTGTGAGGGCCTGTGCTGTGGGTGCAAAACTATCACACGTGCCAATGCTTTAAAGAAGTACATCAGGAGGTCCCCAGTTCCCACCTCTGCTACTCTTAATTTGAACAATCAATCGGAAGGAAATCAGTGGGCAAAAAGGGCTACTCTGTCCTTTAAAATGCTGGGCGTCTTAAAGATACTGGAACTCGTGGGTAAATAAACCAAGAATTAAGAAATCCCCAGAGCACTGGAAGGCAAACAAGGAGACAGTGTTTCAATTTTTAGCCTAGGTGCCAGAGTGCTATGAAAACATGAAGGCATTGTGTTAGTTTTAACTGGACACGTCTGTGGCTTGGTTAACTAAAGAGGCCCGCATAGGAAGGCTCTTCGGGGTGAATGAAATAGCCCCAAAGGTGAAGACACATTAAGAAATCCAATTAAAACTGTAATTCAGTGGGTACAAATCATACCACCACCACCACAGGCACCCATTTCCAACTTGCTGTACTGCTCTTTTTATCATACTGTGGGTAAGAACTGTGAATATTGGTCAGCAGTGCAGTAAGGAATCTGTACCCCTCTCATTCCTGCCCTACCGCCACCCACACAAAACACACGCTTCTGCAGAGGGAGGCAGTACAGATATGCGGCGAAAAGTCTGGGCTTTGTGGTCAGAGAGATCTAAGGTTAAAGGCTGTCCCATTCCAACACTCATTGGATCCATCATATGGACAAGTTACTTAACTTCCTTCGCTGAATCTTTGTCTCTGAGTCTTAGTTAAAGCATCCTTAACGTGGGCATAACAATACCTATTCAGAGGGTCATTCTAGAATAATGAATATGGAGCACCTAACTTGAATCTTGACACACAGACGGTGATCAATAAATATCGATTCCCACCATCTTGTAGACTTCTAGAGCTTCAGCCTCTGAACGGTCTGCCCTCTTCTTTGGACTCTTTCTTTCTATCCTGCTTGGCTTCCTATTTCCTCCTCACTGGCATATATTGAGCCTAGTTTTCCTAATAGATGCTCAGCATCTTTTGATTCATATATTAAATAAATATTTATTAAGTACCTTCTATGTGCCATATTCTGTATCAGGGCCAGTACTGGATAGAGACATGAATCAGGTATCAACCCTACCTGCAGAATCTTTATAATATAGGAAGGAAGCCAAACCCGCAATACAAAGTAGAGAGTGATGCATGATTTAAGAAAAATAGACCAGTGCTGTAACTCGAGAACTCAGAAATTATTGCCTTCTGGGGCAATCAGGAAGACATTTTGAAGGAGGTGCCACAAAAAGTAGGCATTAAGGACTTTAAGGATAGAGAGTTTAGATGCAGGAAGCTGGATGATGGGCATTACCAACAGCTACTGAAGGAAAGGAAATGTATGGAGGAAAGCAAAACATTCATAGAAAGAATTCTGAATGGCATCACATGTCTAGGATATGGATGGAGTAAAGTAAAGAAAAGATAAAGTGAAAAGTATACTGGCATTAGACTGTATGGGATCTTGAAGGCTGGGTTACCAAATCTGGACGTTATCTGCAGACAGTGGAATGTCAGTAAGGAAGTGTAAGCAGGGAAATAACATGACCCATGTGACTGGAGCTCTCTTCATCTGTGTTTCTACCTGAGAAGCCTGGGCCTCTCCTCACTAATGGTCCTGTGGTCTCGATGTCTGCATTTCCTTCCAACGTGAGCCGAATGTTCGCTATTTCTACTTCAAAGTCCTGCAGCCCTTTGAGACCACTCCTAAGTTTTCCTTTTCTATTCTGAATCCATGGGGGGAGTTTGTACTGCTCTTTCATGACATCAGCACAATCTAAATCCAAAGAAGGCACAAGCCTTTCATAACCCAGGTTATAATTTCTGCTACTTATCTGTTTCTGTGGATAGCATTAGAATCACTCATCCGGTCCTGGGGGAGTGGCCATTCAGAATTTATCATTACAGGTGTATAATTTTATGAAAACAGCAAAAAAAAACTTTCAGGCGTATTAACACACAGGTCTCAAGAGGAGGCATGAGATCATAAGTACTTTTCAGCATTAGAGGGAGAAATACCACCCCCAGCAGGAAAAAAAAAAAAACATAGCTACCCCTTAATCTGTTTCTCAACACCCTACAAATCACAGTGAGTTCCCTGCAAACCTGAGACAATATATGCCATTTACTGGAGATTATTTGTTTAGTTATCAGACCCCTCATCTGCACAGCTCCATTTGGTTTGAAAAACCTACCTCACCACTTCACTTATTCACCCTAAGCAAGAAAAAAAAAAAACTGCCAGCAAAATGCAGGAGGAGGGAAGAGATGAAAGGAATCTAAGCAAGGAGAAAAGCAACTGAGAATGCAGAACGAGGCACAGATCCAAGCAGCAGGAGAGTGAAGACTAAATCCACGCTGTTGGACAGAATACATGGTCCGCCCCATCAAGGACAGGCATAGCACAGCGCCACTTGTGACCCAATGAATCACTAGGGCGAATTAAATGTACTGAGAACCCCTGGGCTAAGTGCTGAAGATACAAAGATGAGTCAGGTAAGGCCTGGGATCTTAAACAACTCAGAGCTTAGATAAGGAGACCGATAACTAAGCCGGTAAATTGCACTACAGTGGACAGAAATGCTCCAAGGAAAAGAGCCCATTGAAAAAGGTCAGAGAGCACCACCGACGAGAAAGAGGATTCTGGAGAGGCGTGCGCTGCTGTGCCTTTCCGTACGTCGACTGTACCTCACTACAGCTCACCTCTAAAACGGGATTCCGTCTGACCTCCTGTCTCACAGGCTGTTCTGAAATTAAACAAATTCAAGACTGAACATCGTCTCGGCAAACGCAAAGTCCTGTGCCGAGGTGTGGGACGGCTGTTCCCTCCGTTCATCGGCACAGAGGCCCAGGTAGGGCATACTTTGCGCGCGGGGTACCAACACTGCGGGCCGGGCACGGCCCTGTCTCCGGCTGCCCCTTGTCCTGCCATCACCCAGGCTTCCGCACCAGCAGTTTGGCTTTCTGCTGGGTGTTGAAGCACCCACAAACACAGCGTGGAAAATAATACGAAACACTCACCAGCTGCAGGTCGCCTCCGCCCTCGATGCGCACAGAAGTTGCCTCTCCGGGCCGCCTCTCCGGGTGCCCGGCCCTCCCGCCTCGGCGTCAGCACTTTCCGCGCCCGCCTTCCGGCCCGCCCCTCCCTACCTGTTGCTCCTCGGCCCCAGCTCCCGCCGCCTCGGGGCATCAGCGCTCCCCCGGCCCGCGCAGTTTCCGGCCATCTTCAGCAGAGGTCCCCGGGCAGCGGGGGAGCGGGGAGCGCGCCCGCCGAGGCCGTGCAGCTCGGGGACGCCGGGACCCGCAGCCCTCCTGCCCCTCCCGCCTCCCCTTTCCTTCTGATTCGGCCATTCTTTCCCTCATTCCGCCCCCTTTCTTCTCCGCGACCCCAAACCCACGTCCCACTTCTCTTTTCAGTCCCGCGCCCCCGATGCCGCCGCCTGGGCGCCGGAGCCCCCCCTCGTTCTCTCCCCGGCGCCCGGGGGCAAGTGCGCCGGACTCTCCGCCAAGTTCCCGGCTCCGCCGGACGCCGCTCCGGACTCTGCCCAGCAGCCAGTGACCTCACTGCGTCTCGCGCACGCGATTGGCTCCCTGTGGGCGCTCGGCGGGAGAACCTGAAGAGGTCGCGCGGCCGGGTTCTTTGTCCCTCCGCCACTTCGGGCTGAGTTGGCAGAAGGGGCCCTTGACTCTGCAGCGCTTCACAGGGGGTTGGGGGCCGCCTCCAGGCCTCGTGGCGGCGACCCAGGCCCCGGGGGTCCGCGATGCGACGGCACTGCGGGGAGAGCGGGGGACTCGCCCCAACGTGCGCCCCGTCTGCGGTGGTCGGGGGGTCACCTGGAAACGGGGGCGGCCTCGGCTGCGAAGTCGGGGATTTCATTTCCAGCATTTGTTCCTCCGTCTGTATGACCTTGGGGGAGTCATTTTGTTTCCACTGTGCAAAACAGGAATGGTAACGCCGGCGTTGCATACTGTGCACGTTTATGAAAAGTGTAAAATGCGAGTGTTTTCTAATCATTAAACCTGTTGTTTTAGTAGATAATAAAATACAACATTTTAGCAGAAAGAATTCTGGACAAGGAATGAAATACCTTTAGTTGTCTTTCATTTTTCTATAGTGACCTTCAGGTTGACAAGAATGGGTGTCGTCCTCATCTGTAAAGTGGGAGAACTGGGCGGGATGATCTTTTAAGATCACCTTTGCCTCTCACATACTGACAAAATTTAGCGTCGTCCTTTAATCCACCCCTTCGGAGGGGGCAGACACTTCCATTTTCAGGACTCTAGTTCATCTCTCCTCTTAGGGAGAAACGCACCTTCCCTCAGGTATCCCGGTGAGCCTACTTTCCATGGGGCCAATCCTCTCCCCGGTCCCCAAAAAGGCCAGTATAGAGCCCAAAGGTAGCAGCGCATACGTAGGGCTCATCCTTGATGGAGATTCTCTCCCCAGGCTACTGGCAGGAGCAGGATTTGGAGCTGGGAACTCTGGCCCCACTGGACGAGGGCATCAGCTCCACAGTCTGGAGCAGTCCTGACATGCTGGCTAGTCAAGGTGAGAATCCAGGCCCCCTCATCTCAACGTCCCTCGGTGCCCTCGACCATCTCCACCCATCTCCCACCCATACGGCCTCCACCCTGTGTTCTCACTCCCCCCATGACCATACAGCTCTCTGTCCTTTCCATTTGACATTCTAGTGCTAAGTTCTACACCACCACCTTCTCTATCACCTCCTTCCCTTCCTCCAGTACAGAGACCTCTGTCTCCCCTCCACCTTTTTCCAAAAATAAAATGATTCCAGGAGGAGGCTGTTACTCAGAATAAAGAGGTTCTGGAAGACACGTCAAGGTGGAATCCTTCAAAGGGAACCTGGGACATAAGGATTACTAGTCCAACGCAGTAAATGAAAGGTTTCTTCAGCCTTGCATTGAGATTTTTAAGGGATATATCACTTTCTAATTTACTCAGCAAGTTTAGTCCCTGGCTCACTAATCTCAGAATCATAGTGTTCATTCTCAAGTTATATGATTACCTGAGGAGCATTCCAATAAAAAGAGAACTACATTGAGAGTCAAGAAGGAGTTCTCGTCCTCACCAGAGTCACTGGTTCATAGAATGATTTTAGGCGATCACTCCACCATTACCTCATTGCCTACATCTGTATAAAACGAGGGCATTGGATTCCACAATCCCTAAGATCCCCGTCAGTTCTCACTGTTAGGATTCAAAACGCTGAAACACTGTCTCCTGAGCCTTAGTGCCTGGCATCAGCCCCAGCACCTGCTGCCTTCGCTCCCCAGGGCCCCTTCTCCACCAGGAGCGCTCCTTGTGTATTTCTTGGAAATGGAGCGCTGGTGTCTGAGAGAGAGAGAGAGGACTCCGCGGACAGGGCAGGGGTAAGGTGGGGACCAGTGGACATGGGGATTTAAATTTAAATTACTCAGGGATTGAAGGAAGAAAGTTTCTCGGTTTCCTATTCAGAGAAGAATAATGTTGGTTAAGTAAGTTGGCGCCAGAGAAGTTTTGGGGCTGTTTCAGAATCAGAGCTGGGAGGTATTTGTATTTCAGTTCTGCGGAGGTCAGTGCCATGGGGTCACAGAAAATCAGTCCTGAAGATGAGGAAATCAATACTGGAATGAGAATCCATGCCGTGGGGAACATGGAACAGTCACGGGTGAAGGAGCAAGTGTCGCCTGGTCTAAAGGGCTCACAGCCAGGCCTGACTTGAAGGCCCGTTTGGGATTCAAATGGCTCATCCACATGATACCTTATTAGTCCTTTTTTTAGTTTGTTGAACTTGGCTAAGGAGAGAGGAATTAGAACTGTATTTCCATCCCATCAAAGGGAGAACTTTAATCCTTTGCTCCTTAAAATAACAGGAGGCGGGTGACTCGGGTTTGTGTGTTGGGGGTGGCTAGTACCGATCCTGAAAGGGACATGTTCAGGTTGCAGATGATTGTTGGAGGAATTGAAAATTCTGTGTCAAAGTGTTTCCTTTTTTTTTTTTTCTTATCTCCTTTGTTTGTTTATTTTGCAGTTTCCTCTTGTATAAATGAATGTGCAACCCAAGGCTGGCGTGGCCCTTTCCTCGATTTTAGTTTGGGGATTATTAGTGTGAACCGCCTCTCCTGTTCTTGCTCTTACAAGCAGGTGGTGGCAGGAAGGCAAAACATAGAATGACAGATGTGTACGTGTGTTTTCGAAGGTGAATGGCAGAACTCTTATCAGGAAAGATACATGGGGAGTGGTACGTGTAGATATGGGGCGCCTTTATCCTCTAAATGTTGGTGGCCCTGTCAGTGCATTCAGCAGACATGCAACAAGTGACTATTCTCCTCTGCATTCAAAGCAAGAGGAAATAAGGTCTGCCTCCCCTTCCCCACCCCACCACCTTTATTCCTTCTGCCGCGATGCCTTAAGAGAACACAGACACCTGGGCCCTGAACGGTCTGAATTACATGAGGCGGCCATCGGTGCAGAAAGGGGTGGGGGGCTAGGGCTTGGTCAGGGAAGTAACCCCATTCCACTCCTGCAGACAGCCAGCCTTGGACATCAGATGAGACGGTGGTGGCCGGCGGCACCGTGGTGCTCAAGTGCCAAGTGAAAGATCACGAGGACTCATCCCTGCAGTGGTCTAACCCTGCCCAACAGACTCTCTACTTCGGGGAGAAGCGAGGTATGTCCATGAGGAGTTCTCCCTCTCTCCAGGCACCATGGGCTGGGGGAGGAGCCCGCAGAGCCCAGGGGAAATGCACCTGCAGACCAGAGGCCCAGAAACGCGAAGGCAGGCTATTTGAGGAAGCAGCACGCCATGGGCTCCTTCACTGGTCCTGGAGAAACGTGTGTTGTATCTCTGACCTAAGCCATATAGGACCACAGGGTCCTGGAGTGCCTTCACCGCGAAGGAGCCCTGAGTGACAGCTGATGTCGTTGTTGCCCCACCCATCTCACAAGGAGGCCCACAGGCCCCGCCTACTTTTCTGCGTAGTATCTCGGAGGCCACGGTGCCCAGTATGCCCAGTAGCCCAGGAAAGTGACTGGATGGCCTAAAGACTGCTCAAACTCAGGACAGCCCCCTCACCCTGTTCCAAGCCACACTAGACCTCTTCTCCCAGAGAAGTTGACCTGGGATTGGAAGATAGACCGGAAAGGTGCCAATAAAAGCCCTGCTTCTGAGTGTCCTGGTTCTCCCCAGCCCTTCGAGACAATCGGATCCAGCTGGTTAGATCCACGCCCCATGAGCTCAGCATCAGCATCAGCAACGTGGCTCTGGCCGACGAGGGCGAGTACACCTGCTCCATCTTCACGATGCCCGTGAGGACCGCCAAGTCCCTCGTCACTGTGCTCGGTGAGGCCCCCAAACCCCAGTGTCTCCCCAGCATGCCTCCTTGCAGACCAATCTCCTTAGGTGAACCCTTGAAGCAGCCTGGAGCGCAGCCAGTCTCCAAACACTCTGGGAAAATTCAGCCCAAGTTCCCTTTCCAAAGGAATGAAATGCAAAGAGCATTGGGCTCCAGTCACTTCTCCTCTACTTCCTGTTTGCTCTGGGACAAACTCTTACTCTGAGCCAGAAGTTTCTAACCTCTGACAGAAGGATGATAATGTCTATCTAACCTACCCTCCAAGATTCTTTGGGAGAAACATGGGATGTATAGGCATGCAACGTATGATTACAATTTCCAGGAGAGTTGCTTACATACTCTCATCTTGATCCTATACTTCAATTTCCTTCCTACCCTGAGCCTCACACTAATTCTGTGGCCACCCAGTTGTGCTGTGGGGTGCTGGGTTATACATCAGGTCTTCCCTCCTGGTCCTCAGGGAGGCGATCAAAGAGAAAGATGATTGATTTCTCTAGTCTTCTGCCCATCATAAACCAAAGCAGAACCCAAATATCCTGACTCCAAGAGAGGCCATCTCATCAGGGGGAGCTGAGGTGTGACTTCAGGGTGCCTGTCCTTCCTATCTTGGCCATCTCCTATCCATGGCAGGAATCCCACAGAAACCCACAATCACTGGCTACAAGTCATCACTACGGGAAATGGAGACAACCACCCTCAACTGCCAGTCTTCAGGAAGCAAACCTGCAGCCCAGCTGACCTGGAGGATGGGAGACCAAGAGCTCCCTGGTAAGTTCCTCTACCTTGGGGCTCAGAAGGTGGCAGTGGGGGTGTAGGAGGATGAGAGAGGAGGGCCACACGTGTGTGTCTGTCCATGTGCACATAAGGTATACAGAAGGAGAAGGGGAGAATGGCAGATATTCTGTGTGCACTCGTGTGTGTGTTAGGCCTGTGTGTACATATCCATTTTCACAACTTTCTAAGTTTGTCTAAGCTGAGACTCACCATCTGTATGCCTACAGTGGGGCCTACATTACATCTCTATGTTAGGGCTCACTCTGTGTCGATGGGTGTGTGCGTGCATGTGTCTATTTCTGTGCTACAGGAGAATCAACCCAAATACAGGAAGATTCCAATGGTAAAACCTTCACTGTGAGCAGCTCCGTGACGTTCCAGGTTACCCGGGAGGATGATGGGGCAGATATCATATGCTCTGTGAACCATGAGTCTCTAAAGGGAGCTGACAGATCCACCTCTCAACGCATCGAAGTTTTATGTATGTCATAGGTTTGTGGGTGAAGGATCAGGTATGAGATGGGGCGTGGGGAAGGGGAAAGTACAGGTGACTACACAAAGCCACATGCACAGATAAGTGACTAGGTAAAAAAAAAAAAAAAATGATGAGACAAGAGGATAGGACTAGGCCAA